ACCAAGCCTGGTTGAAGCCATAATTAATTTGATCAGGCGCAGTGGCTCACACCTATAATCCCAGCACTTTAGGAGGCCTAGGAAGGAGGATCATTTGAGCCCAGGAGTTTGAGACCAGCCTGGGCAACATGGTGAGACTCTTGTCTCTACAAAAATTTTAAAAATTAGCTGGGCATGGTGGTGTGTACCTGTGGTCCCAGCTACTCATGAGGCTTAGGTGAGAGGATCACTTGAGCCTGGGAGGTTGACACTGCAGTGATCCATGATTGCACCACTGCACTCTAGCCTGGGCAACAGAGTGAGACCCTCTCTAACCCCTTCCTTAAATATAGATATCTATGGTGAATGTTGGGAGCAAAAAAATACATCAGACATTATTATAAGCTTGGAGCTTATTAAAACTTGGTAAAAACAAAAACAAAAACATTTCTCCCTGGGTAAGGTATGGATAGAATCTTACCCTACCTCAAATTACCATATTGGGTGCCACTTACAAATAATGTCTCTAAAGGTTCTGCAATCCAGTGATGTTTGTTATGTTTTACCTATCTCTAAGATTCCCAGAGGACCACAGTTATTAAGGAGAGAAGTCTTCAAAATTAAACAGGCACAGCGTGTAGCAAAATGTACAGATCTATTATAAAATCTCACTACCTCCAATTAATTGGGGGAAAGGTGATGTGAATTCATACAACTCAATTACTCCTACAGATGTAAAGGATTTCTGGCCTTTACTAAGAAAAAAAGAGAAAAGTATTCCAGAATCAATTTTAATGAACACATTTGATTTATTTGTAATTGGCATATTGTTTTAAATATTTTAAGCTTCTGAATTACCTGAAAGAAATATGCATTTTAGAATGCTTAATCAAGCCATCTGCAGTTTAGTTTGCATTCATAATGGTCCCATGCCACAGGACCATTATTCACAGAAGGAGAGGAGTCAATGTCCACTGATTTCTAGGAGTTCATAAATTTTGAATTGGTGGGATCTGAATCACACTAATTGCACTTGAGAATCTAATAGGTTTGAGTTGCAAAGACTTATGCTCTGATATTATTCAGACAGTAAAATCTTAGTTGAGAGAGGGTCTCTTCCGCAGTTTTGGGTAGATGACAACCTCTTGGAAAATGGGTGGGACCATGGTCCTCAGTCCACTGATTGCCTGATAGAATGTTTGCACTTTAGGATCTCCATTTTCTCTGTGCCCCGAGGCAGCACACCCGATATGCTTTTGTAGCGATGAATTCCAAGGAAAACACGACCGAGACTTTATTTCAAATTACGCTCAAGATCAATACATCTCACTGATGCCCAAAAATGCCATGTTCATAATCTGCTGTTGTGATATACAACTAGGAAAAGGTAAATGTCCTGTCAACCACAATCTCTCTTTATTATTTTTAAAGAGGGCTCATTTCCATTATCAGAAGCAGATAGGGAATGCCAGCACCCATTTGTCATTCAAAACCAAGCACTTACTTAGCTGGGAAAGAATTAAAGCCATTAGGTGATGAATTTGTTTTTTTTAAAATAATGGTAATAAAGTCACAATTCAAGGTCAACAAAAATTCAAGTGTAGTTGCACTGGGTAGCTAATATTTTGGATAGAATGGGAAGACCATTTCCCAACATTACCTTTGGTTTTCTAATACTTATTTTTTGCAAAAATGGAGACAAGAAACAGAAACCTAACATTTTCTCTCACCTCAAAGAGTAATCAGTTTTTATATCACCAACCTAGAGATTTTCATGTCAATTGAAGGGAGTCTTTTCCTACCCCAGTTTTTATGTGACTAATCCTATCTCACCATATGTATAAAAGTCTGTGACATGTGAAGAACAGATGATGTGGCCAGGCACACCGGCTCATGCCTGTAATCCCAGCACTTTGGGAGGCCAAGATGGGCGGAACACCTGAGGTCAGGAGTTCAAGATCAGCCTGACCAACATGGTGAAACCCTGTCTCTACTAAAAATACAAAAATTAGTGGGTCATGGTGATATGCACCGAAATCCCAGCTACTTGGGGGGTTGAGGCAGGAGAATTGTTTGAACCCAGGAGGCGGAGGTTGCAGTGAGCTAAGATTGTGCCACTGCACTCCAGCCTGGGAGACAGAGTGAGACTCCGTCTCAAAAAAAAAAAAAAAAAAAGAAAGAAAAGAAAAGAAAAATAGATGACGTAATGAGCAAGTGAGCTTGGGCAGCTGATTGCTGCCAGCAATTCATTCAGGGTTCATTCTGCTCACAGGTCTCTGCGTAGGAAATGCTAAAAGTGCTACTCTCCAGTTAGGGTTTCCAGACCGATAGATGTGAAGATTCCTTCTGCTTTAGTATCCTCAGGCACCTCAAAATCAAAATATGTCCCAAATCAAACTCATTTGACCCATTTACCAAAAATGCTTTTCCCTGTCTTTTCTATCCCTAAATGATCCTGCCATTTATTCCTTAGGTTGAGCCATAAGAAATTGCCTTTTTTGTAGGTCATTAATGGTTGAATATTGGCAATTTCAAAAGGATCAACCTTAACAGTTGTTCAGGTTAAAAAAAAAAAAAAAAACCTGCTAAAATCCTTTTCATATCACTTCCCCTTCAACTCTTACAACAAGCCAATCAGGAAGGTTGGTAAATTCTGTTTCAGGCAGGTCCATTATCCATCTCTAAGGCAAGCATCAAAGCCCAAGCCAAGTTAGTGAACTGGCTTCACCAACCCTGTCCACGCTGCCATAAACCAGAGTGTCTTCTTTAAAACGCAAGTTAGAACATGCCACTTGCTGCAAAAAATCATCCAATGGCTTCCCACTGCCCTTAAGAAAAAGACTGCGCTGGGTGCTGTGGCTCACGTCTGTAATTCCAGCACTGTGGGAGGTCAAGGCGGGAGGACCGCTTGAGCCCAGGAGTATGTGACCTGGCTGGCAACATAGCAAGACATCATCTCTACAAAAAATAAAAAATAAAAAAATTAGCTAGGCATGGTGGCTCACACCTGTAGTCCCAGCTACTTGTGAGGCTCAGGTGGGAGGATCACTTGAGCCCGGGAGTTGGAGGCTGCAGTGAGCCATGAATGCACCACTGCACTCTAGCAGGGGCAACAAAGAGTGACCTTATCTCTAAAAAAAAAAAAAAAAAAAAAAGACAAAGACCAGACACTTCTAGATGCCTTGCTGATCTGCAAGCTCCAGTCTCTACTGATTGCTTCACTCTCATCTCACTTTCTATTTTTTGGTTACAATGACTTTCTTTTATTTTTTTAAACATGGCCCTTCCCACCCTAGGGCCTTTGTATATTCCATCTGCCTGGAACCCTCTTTTCTCTAATGACCCCCAAGGTCCTTGTCACCTAGTAACCCTTACTTCTCCTTTATTCATGTCTCTGCATAAATGCCACTGCTGGGCAGGCATGGTGGCTCATGCCTGTAATCCTACTACTTTGGGAGGCCAAGGCGAGAGGATCACTTAAGCGCAGGAGTTCAAGATCAGCCTGAGCAATATAGCAAGACTCCATCCCTACAAAAAAACATATCCCACTGCCTCAAGAGAACCTTCTATGATCTCTCTCAGACCAGGATGGAACCCCATGTTACATACATCCATGAGACTATCTCCTCTTAGTACTGGTCATACTTCGAATTGTTTGTTCAAGGCCCTACTAGACTCAAGCTTCAAGGAAACAGGATCACGGCTGTCTTATTACCATGTCACCATCACTGAGCCAGGGCCCAGCACCCTAATGGGCACTCAACAAATATCTATGGAAGGCACGAATCCCTCACAAAATTTAGAGCAGCAACTGACAGTTCAAAGTTGCCATCCCTGCATAATATTATTCTCACTTTTGATATATCTTTTTTCTACTTAATATTTTATTTTTATTATTTGATTTTTAAAATTGTATTTATTTATTTACTTTTTTGAGACAGGGTCTCACTCTGTCACGTAGGCTGGAGTGTGATGGTGCGATCATGGCTCACTGCAGCCTCAACCTCTTGAGCTCAGATGATCCTCCCACCTCAGCCTCCCAAGTAACTGGGACTACAGGCATGCGCCACCATGCCCAGCTAATTTTTTTTTTTTTTTCCTGAGATGGAGTTTCACTCTTGTTGCCCAGCCTGGAGTGCAGTGGCATGATCTTGGCTCACTGTAACCTCTGCCTCCTGGGTTCAAGCGATTCTCTTGCCTCAGCCTCCTGAGTAGCTGGGATTACAGGCACACACTACCACGCCTGGCTAATTTTTGTATTTTTAGTAGAGACAGGGTTTCACCATGTTGGCCAGGCTGGTCTTGAACTCCTGACCTCAGGTGATTCACCCGCCTCGGCCTCGCAAAGTGCTGGGATTATAAACGTGAACCACCGCCCCCTGCCTAATTTTTGTATTTTTTGTAGAGATGGGATTTCGCCATGTTGCCCAGGCTGGTCTCAAGCTCCTGTGCTCAAGCCATCAGCCTGCCTTGGCCTCCCAAAGTACTGGGATTATAAGTGTGAGCCACCTAGCTGGCCTCAATATTTTAAAAAAGGAAACAAAAACATGCAATTTAAAAATTAATTAAACTAAAAGACTAAACCAAAATTCTGGGCCCTTTTGGAATGATAGCCTAGCACAGCCATAACTAGTAGTTGTTATTGTTATAAGAGAAATAACAATAATCAAAGCTAATATTTATTGAGGGCCAGCTATGTGCCAAGCCTATGGGTGAAACTGAAGTTAGTGAAGTTGGGGGATTTAACAAGGTTCCCAGGGGCCAGTAAATGATGGAGCCATAGTCACAAAGACCAATGATCCAAGACAGGATATGAATGCTCACAGTCCCTCCGTCTTTCAGTATGACAACCTCCAGAACACAGGGATCCTCTCTACATGCTGCAGACTTAGAGCATCAGCTCCAGAATCCAAGAGACACACGTTTTCAGCGGTTAAGTTAAATGTGTCTACACACATCTCAGCTAATTTTACCTTATTTCCAAGAGCAAGTTACATCTTATTAAAAACAGGTGTTCCTACCGGAAGAAAGAGTCTCTGGGCAGCACAGGGTTTGAACAATTTCTTCCACTCCTGAGGGTTTCCAACAGAAAATGTGATGGGGTAGATTCTGTGCTCAAACTTCTTTGTATACGAGTCAGGCCACTGGCGCAACTGAAAAACATGGAAAGCAAGGGAAGGGTGATTAGGCCCCGGGAAATAGGGAAAACACCTGGGAAGCTTCTGGATGGTCAAATGGAAATTATTCAGGCAACTTACACAGAAAGTCTAACTTCATCACCACTACGAATGTTCACTAAATGAAAGAGTATGTACTCCTACTAAAATTGCTAAGATTTTTTGAAATAACATTCAGAGTTGGCAACAGTGTTGAGAAACTGTAGAGTATAGATGTGAACAAACTTCCAAAAGGGCAACTTGGAAACTGGTAACAACACCCCAAAAGACGGAGGTACAAGGACATTCACCACAACCTAGTTTGTAATAACAAAACTTATGAACTTAGCAGCTTGGAAGGAGGAAAAAATCCCAGCAAACTTGGGAACAATCAAAATGTTCAATGATAAGGAATTGGGACAATTAAGTATGATAGAACTACATAATAAAGTACAGGTAGAGGGACCAGAGGTGGTAGTTCATGCCTGTAATCCCAGCACTTTGGGAGGCTGAGGCGGGTGGATCTCTTCAGGCCAGAAGTTCAAGACGAGCCTGGCCAACACAGCAAAACCCCATCCCTGCTAAAAAACACAAAAATCAGCTGGGCGCAGTGGCACATGCCTGTAGTCCCAGCTACTCGGGAGGCTGACACACGCAAATTGCTTGAACCAGGGAGGCAGAGGTTGCAGTGAGATCCTGCCACTGCACTCCAGCCTGGGTGACAGAGCGAGACTGTGTCTCAAAAAAATAAAATAAAATAAAATTAAAAAATAAACATAGAATAATGTCCAGTTAGAATAAAGTAGATGTCTTTTGTGTTATTTGTGGCAGGCTGGATTTGGCTCTTGTACTCCCATAGTTTGCTGACCTCAGTTCTATATCCTTGTCACTAATGACTGCATTGTATTCTGTTATGTAGATAGGTACTGACATGGAAAATGGTTATAACATATAGTTCGGTTTTGGAAAAAGCAAAGTGAAAAAAAATTATAATATGGTTCTTTTTTTTTTTTAATTTCTTCACTACTCTCTGAATGAATGGTTCTGTCTTATAGGAAAAAATATATGCATGAGGCCGGGCATAGTGGCTCACACCTGTAATCCCAGCACTTTGGGAGGCCCAGGCGGGTGGATCACTTGAGGTCAGGAGTTTGAGACCAGACTGGCCAACATGGCAAAATCCCATCTCTACTAAAAATACAAAAATTAGCTGGCGTGGTGGTGGGCGCCTGTAATCCCAGCTACTTCAGGAGGCTGAGGCAGGAGAATCACTTGAACCTAGGAGGCAGAGGTGGAGGTTGCAGTGTGTTGAGATCGTGCCACTGCACTCCAGTCTGAGGGTCAAAGCGAGACTCTAAAATATATATATATACACACACATACACATAGACACACACATATGCATGTACATTTTATATGTAGAGAAAAATCTAGACGGATATGCACTGAATTATTAAAAGTGGGCACCTCTATAGCTGGTGATGGTGGTTTCGTTTCCTCGGGCTACATTTCCATATTCTTTAGAACTTTTATAATAAGTATATATTACTTTATTTGCATATATTAATTTTATAACAAAATTTTTAAAATACACTTTTAGATTTTAGAGCAGTTTAATGTCTACAGAAAGTCAGCCAGGTGTTGGTGGCTCACGCCTGTAATCCTAACATTTTGGTAGGCTAAGGCAGGAAGATTGCTTAAGCCCAGGAATTTGAGACCAGCCAGGGCAATATAGCAAGACCTGCCTCTAACAAAATTAAAAACAAGGCCAGGAGCGGTGGCTGATGCCTATAATCCTGTGACTTCGGGAAGCCAAGGCGGGTGGATCACTTGAGGTCAGGAGTTCGAGACCAGCGTGGCCAACATGGTGAAACCCCATCTCTACTAAAAATGCAAAAATTAGCCAGAAGTGGTGGCATGCCTGTAGTACCAGCTACTCAGGAGGCTGAGGCAGGAGAATCACATCAACACGGAAGGCGGAGGCTGCAGTGAGCCAAGACGGGGCCACTGCACTCCAGCCTGGGTGACAGAAAAAAAAAATTTTAAAAACAAGAACAACAATGAAAACAAACAACAAAAAAGAAAAATTGAGCAGAAATCAGTTTCCAGATAGCCTCTCTCTTCCCCCTGTCCTACACTTTCCCCTATTATTTACATCTTGCATTCATGTGGTATATTTGTTACAACCGATAAGTCAATATCAATATGCTATTACTAACTAAAGTCCACAGTTTACATTAGTGTTAATTCTTCCTGTTGTACACTCTTTCTATGGATTTTGGCAAATGCACATCATATATCTATCATTACAGTATCATACAGAACAGTGTCCCTACCCTAAAAATCCTCTCTGCTCCAACTTTTCAACATTCCTGCCCTCTCTCACCTGAATTTCTTCTTCTTCTTCTTTTTTTTTTTTTTTTTGGAAACAGATTCTCACTCTGTTGCCCAGACTGGAGTGCAATGGTGCAATCTCAGCTTACTGCAACCTCTGCGTCCCAAGTTCCAGCAATTCTCCTGCTTCAGCCTCCTGAGTAGCTGGGATTACAGGTGACTGCCACTACGACCCAGCTACTTTTTGTATTTTTAGTAGAGACAGGGTTTTACTATGTTGGTCAGGTTAGTCTCGAACTCCCGACCTCAGATGATCCACACGCCTTGGCCTCCCAAAGTGCTGGCATTACAGGTGTGAGCCACCGTGCCTGGCCAAATACTGATCTTTTTACAGGCTCTTCATGTTAACTTTTCCAGAATGTGATATAGTTAGAATCACATAGTACATTGCCTTTTCAGACTGGCTTCTTTCATTTAGCAATATGCATTTAGGTCTCCTACATGTCTTTTTGTGGCTTGATAGCTCATTTTTTAATTTATCATTTAATAATACTGTATGCTCAAAAAAATTAGCTGAGCGTGGGGGCGGGTGCCTGTAGTCCCAGCTGCTTGGGAGGCTGAGGCAGGAGAATGGCATGAACCTGGGAGGTGGAACTTGCAGTGAGCAGAGATCATGCCACTGCACTTCAGCCTGGGCGACAGAGTGAGACTCCGTCTCAAAAAAAAAATTAAAAAAAATGATAATACTGTATGCTATGGTATGAATCTATCACAGTTTGTTTATCCATTTACCTACTGAAGGATATCTTGGTTGCTTCCAGTTTTGGGAAATTGTGAATATAGCTGCTACAAATATCTGTGTACAGGTTTTTGCGTGGACATAAGTTTTCTACTCATTTGGGTAAATACTTAACGAGGTCAATTCCTGGATTGTATGGTAAGCCTATATTCAGCTTTCTAAGAAACTGCCAAACCATCTTTCAAAGTGGCTGCATGATTTTGCATTCTTATCAGCAATGAATGAGAGTTCCTGTTGCTCCACATCCTCACCAGCATTTGGTGTTGTCACGGTTCTAGATTTTAGCCATTCAAATAGGTGTGTAGTGGTGTCTCATTATTACCTTAAGTTACAAATGCTCAAATCACATATGACACTGAACATCTTTTCATATGCTTTTTTGTCATCTGTGTATCTTAATTTTTTTTTTTTTTTTTTTGAGACAGAGCCTTGCTTTGTCGCCCAAGCTGGAGTGCAGTGGCATGATCTCAGCTCACTGCACTCTCTGCCTCCCGGTTTCAAGGAATTCTCATGCCTCGGCCTCCCGAGTAGCTGGGATTACAGGCATGCACCACTATGCCCAGCTAATTTTTTTGTATTTTCGGTAGAGATGGGGGTTTCGCCATGTTTCCCAGACTGGTCTCAAACTCCTGAGCTCAGGCAATCTGCCCACCTCATCCTCCCAAAGTGCTAGGATTACACGCATGAGCCACCATGGCTGGCCCTTCTTAATTTTTTAATGCCTTCCCATTGTTACAACAATTCTAGGAATTACTCCTAAGGAAAAATTTCAAAAATGGACACTTGTTTATTACAAGGTTGTTTGTTTTAGTGTTGTTTGTAACAATGATAAATTAGAAACAATCTAAAGAAGAGATTGGTTAAATAAGCTCCAGGGTCTGTCTATATAACAGAATACAATGTAGTCATTAGTGATAATATCACAGAACTGGGGTCAGCAAATTATGGTAGTACCAGAGCCAAATCTAGCCTGCCACAAAAAGTACACAAGCCATGCCAAGAATGGTTTGGCATTCTTAAATAGTTTTAAAAAAAATCAAAACAAGAATAATATTTTGTGACAATTATATGAAATTCAAATCTCAGTGCCCATAAGTAAAATGTTACCAGAACACAGCCACACCCATTTGTTTATATATTGTTTGTGGCTGCTTATGCTCTAAATAGCACATTGAGTAGTTGGGATAGAGACTATACAGCCTGCAAAGCCTAAAATAGTTACTATCTGCTGTTTTCCAGGAAACACTGGTCATCTCACTTTAGAGGAAACTCAGTAATATAAGCGTCAGTGAAATAAAAGAGATCCCATTTCTGATGGTGATATGAAAAGAAAAGGAATGGAAATAAGTATTATATATATACGCCAAAACTGTTCTCCCTGAGCATTAGTGTAATGGGTTTTTTTCCATTTATTATTTATGAATTTACTGGTTTTTACCAGGTACATATATTGTTTATATAGCCACATAAACTTTTTTTTTTTTTTTTTTGAGATAGGGCCTCACTCTGTCGCCCAGGCTGGAGTACAGTGGCATGATCAAGGCTCACTGCAGCCTTGACCTCCCTGGGCTCAGGTAATCCTCCCACCTCAGCCTCCCAAGTAGCTGGGACCACAGGTGCACATCATCATGCCTGGCTAATTTTTCTATTTTTTATTGAGACAAGGTTTTGCCATGTTGCCCAGGCTTGGATATAAACATTTTTAAAAATACATCATTGGAAACACTTTAACATTCTGAATGAGGAAAGGAGTGACAGAAAAAGTATTTGACATTTGATATATGAAGGGCACTGACCAATTAGAACCCACACCAGGCATTACCTAGTATTTACCCAGTATAATCGCACAGACCCATTAGAACTG